GTACATTACTATTAGCAGAATTGAATATTTCATAAAAGATGATTTAAAATCATTTTTCAGCAAGCAGATCACTGCTTGTAGACCTGAAGAGGTCCTGATGATTGCCTTTGACTGCTGCTGCCACCTGGCAATGAGGATGAGAAACTTAGCATGTGCTATAGCTGATTTTGACTCCCTGTGTATAAATAGCAGCAGATCCAGGCAAAAGCTCATGATCTGCATGTGCCTCTTGTATGGGGAGCATTAGCCTTGCATAGGGATAAATCTGTGAATTGGAAACTTGAAGTATCAAGAACAAGGATTGGAGTATGTATCTCCATAAACCTTAGGGCTGTGATTCTGCAGTTTCCCCGTCCTTAAAGAGGAGCCTCTTGTGGTATAAGGTTGGACTTGGTATCCATTTCTTGTTGAAATGCAAGGTTAGGAAGAATTTTTTGGTGTTCAGGAGTACAGGAAAGGAATTTGCACATCACTTCCCTAAAATATTTCAAGTTGAACAGAGTACAATGTTCTGTTTGCCTGGTAAGGAGGATGGGCTCCCATCTCTTGAGCTGGAATACCTATTTTCTATTCCTTGTGTTTCCTCCAACTCGATGTGACTGCAGGGAGGTCACTTAATCTGTGTCTTGGCTTTGCTTTTTAGAAAAAATGGCTGCCAAAGGTGAGGAAAGGAGGCAGTCTGTAGTCTTTGGGCGAAGCTTTTCTGTGTAGGAGAACAGCCCCTAGTGTCATTTGGGCGAGTGCTTGTAAGTGCTACCATAATATGAATCAAAGTGAAGCATGTCTCTGATTAGGTCTCAAGTATGTTGTGTAACTTCTTGTAGCGAGCTTGTCAATGCATACAAGTTATCTTCCTGCTCGTTTAGTCTAAATGACTCATAGTGAAACCTTTGCTGTTCCTTCTTAGCATAGATGAACATAGAGTGCCTTTTCCACAAATGTTTGATATCCTTCATCTCTGTGCGCTTCTGTAGCTCATTGTCAGAGCCAAGCTCTGGGCACAAGGCTTTCAATGGAACAACACTGCTTTTTGCTTTTCTGTTTAAGTCTAGTCCAGCTTTTGTTTTGAGAAACTCGTTATCAAGGTGTCATTGGTGTCCACAGAAACCTAGCGAGCAGGTCTTGATGCTGTTCTCTAGAAACCTGTTTGGTCTCAGTGCTGCCTCTTTTCTTGCCGTCTCTTACAGCAGTATCAGAGTGAAAAATTGATCTTGCCTTCCTCTGTAATAGAGGATTCGCAGGGAGACACTGAATTGGTCAAGGAAACTATAAATAATGAAACGATTGGAGCAGGAAGGTGACAAGATATAAAGTACAGTAAGGAACTTGATAATCTGACAGGGTTAATGTTAATTGCAAAGTGTAACCTGTGGCTTATTGCATAGCAGGAGTGATCAGCTCAAGGCCTTGCATTAATCCAAGAGGCAGTGCAGGTGGTGAGGGTTGCTGGTGGTCAGTGTTTGCATATATATGAGCTTCTTTGTGATTTTCAAAACATCTGTTAAAAAATCCAACAAACTACAGGTTGACTAGGCTGATACTTTTATTGTAAACCTCTGCTTTTGAGTACATAAATAGAAAGTGTTCCAAGTGCTGCTTTGGTCTAGAAGTGATACTGCGGGAGCTGTGGAGCTGTGCTGGGCTGCTATTTGGTTCCTGAGTGGGAGAAAATATACAGAAACAGTGACTGTAAAATGAAGTATTAATGAAGCCTACGCCATCAGTGTAGCAGCTTCAGCTGCAAAGGAGGGGAGTGAGCTGTTGTAGGAACTTCAGTGAAGCTTATTCCACTGAAAGCAGTTTTATCTTAGAGATAAAAGACAGCCTGCTGTTGGTGGTGTTTCCTGTTCCACAGCTCCAGTTTAGCTCTAAAACCACTAGCTTTTTAGCCTTTTACTTATGTCATAATTTATCCCTCTGCAAGTAGGACTGTTGATTCTTAAATATTGTAAGGTTGTGGAGTGGCTTTGTTAATAGTTTTCATTCACAGAGGAAACTGTTTCATGAGCTCTGTAGCCCATGTTAACTGGGCTGTGAAGAGGTGGTATTCCTTGAGGGGTATCTGTTTTTTTCTTGTCTCTCAGTACTGGTGTTTGAAGCAGAAATTGCTGCAGAACATTTACCTTTAATCATTTAAGTATAGAGAAACTTACCTGTTCACTTCTTTTTAAAATAAGTGCCATCCAGATTGAGATCTTGCTTGCCAAGCTCCTACCTGTCTTTGGATGTTTGTAGCTACTGAGTCACATTGTCCGGGCTCTCACCTCTGGGTGATGTTGGTTTTGATGGTGGTACACCAGGCTGGCCTGTGAGGAGAGTGTGGGAAAGGCTGCAAAATCTTGTGGTTGATTGACACCCTGGCGATCAGGAGTGTGTGATGGGCTTACAGCCCGGTGACATGGCAGGCCGTTGTGACCTTGCATATCCGTCCGATGCTAACCTGTTTGGGTAGAAAATGGTTCTGCTCTCCAGTTCGAACCACTCTCTAGAGAGGCCTTCCAGCAGGACCTGGAGGAAGCAGGTAGTCCTCCATTGAGAACTGTCTCTATCTTCATATGAAAAATGAAGAGGCTGTAGTTCAGATATTCCAATACCAAATGCCAATTCAGCTTTTGAAGAAAACAGACTTTATGCAAGGCAGGGTCAAGTCTTTCTATGCTTGTTTCTGTGCAGTAATTTATCTTATTTTAATCTTAATGGTACGGCCTCCAGTTCTTAGGTTTTTGTGAACTGTTCTTATGCCTCCTATAAGGCAGAGCATGTGCTACTGGTTGTTTTTAGCATGGAAAATGTTAAGAGCCCATGTGGTCCCATTTAGTTCTAACAGTACCGGCCTTGTCCAGTTCTCTTTCACTCAGAGAGTATTTATTTCCCGAGTGCTGTATCGCTAACTATAGGGTTTGTAGGGAGGCATCCTGGCCTTGCTTTTGTAGCTACATTTCCAATTTACCTGCCTGCTTGTTTGCTCTGTGATCCTTCAGGATGGTCTTTAATTCCATCCTTGATTTCCACTGCTTTTGGGGTCTGGAAATGTAACCTCTCAAGTGCTGGGGCAGGAGGAAGGCAGGGACTGGCAGCACTGTGGAGTACGTCCCTGCAGAGCACAGGGGCTCAGTCACTTGGGAAACCTCCTTGTCTCTCTTCTTGTAGACACTTGAAGCAGCTTGCCCCCAGGACACACCTTCTTGAAAGCCCTGAAAATCTGGAGCAAGTGCTTGCTGAACTTCCCTCTCGGACCTTGAGAATGAATTATCTGGCTCCTCCATGAACCTCATGCTGCAAACATTATTTCTAACCTTATAAAGATGTGCATACTGAAGGGTTGTTTGTCCTGGCTAGAGAAACAAGGTGGCTTAAAACTGCTCTGGGCCCCTAATGCGAACACGTAGAGTAATTAAGTTGACTGTCCCGTTGGTTTTTTTTTTTAAGGTAGATGAGTGTGCACATTCATTCTTGTCCTCATCTCCCTGATCTTTATCAGTTTTCCATAAATCAAGTCAGGATACAGATTTGGAGAACTGACCCCTACTCTCCCATTGGTGTCGTAATCCCATCCTGACCTACTGTGGGGATTATTTAGCAAGTTGGAAAAGTCTCATGTCCTATCTGCAGCTCTATGGCTGTGTCTTGATATAAGGTGTGACACTTTGACCAAATTCCTTCCAGAAGGAAGTGGATGAGGCTGGTGGTGCAAGGGGAACGCACACAGTGTGTGAGCTCCATGCTAGCTCAGCTCTATTTTTGCAGCGGGACTGTGCGGAGCCCTTCATATTGGGAAACAGCACTGGGGCATCCAGTGCTTCGCACTGGTTCTGGCTTTTGCAAGCTCATTGTCTCTGGTCCAAAGCCTCTGGAGCGGCTGCGCTTCCCCAGCTGGCTGCTCCTGCCTGGAGAGTGCAAGGACTGTCAGGCCAGGCTCCCTCCAGTTTAGCAGTGTTTAAGACCATGTGATTTGACAAGTTGCCATTTTCTGTTCTGCTGCTGGCAGGGAAAAAACAGGCTTTCTTTCCCCCATGTGTTTAAATGATCCCATTGCCCCTGCAGTCCTGAACTGGCTGATAAATTAGCAATATAGTGAGTGTTTTGTCGCTCTTAAACGTGTTGCAAAATGAATGTGGGCTTTAGGAGCAATCCCATGGAGGAAATGAAAGAGAAGTGTGTGCTGCATCTTACTACGGTTTGGTTGAGCAGGTTAAAAAGTCTGTCGTGGGTAAGCATTGTCAGACACATGGTGTTTTGCTTTAATTTCTGCTCAGTGAAAATATAACCTGTAAGTGCTTTGCAGCAAGGTTGTTTTGGGGATGTGGGTAACTGTTTCGCTTTGTGTTCCAGCTGTAGGCTTTCCTACAAAAAGGAAAGCATGTCAGCCCTGCCTCATGTAACCCAGGTGAGGCTTGTAAATGGAGGAGCACGACAGGCACACGAGTCTCAGCGGTGTCCAGGCAGGGAAGGGTTCACACTCCTTCTAGAATAAGAGACAGTTTTCAACTCTAGAAAGTCAGAGGAGTAGCAGTGGTTAACGTAGTAAATTTAGATGTAGAACAAACTTTGGAGCTGGGTTCCTAAATAGTAATGTCTCTATCCAGGCTGCCTTTGCTGGACAAATATCACTGTTATAAGGGTGCTATAGTATATTTCCCATCTTCACTACTGCGAAATCTTTTTGAGGGACTTCTGGTTGTTGGGAGACACTTGCTTCATCAGGCTGTAGTTGCTCTTTGTTTAGGAATTCCTATGCTCTGTGGGTAAAAGTAAATGGAGTAGCTGCGTGTTGCTGTTTAGCTCCTGCTCAACTACAGACTTCTGTTGTACAGCAGCCTCTTGCAATACTGTGGATCAGAATGTTTGCAAAGCACTTCACCTTCAGCGAGTTATGTTTTAGAGAAGTGTGTGTTGTCAGCCTATGAAACTCTCAGGAATGTGATGCTGCCTTTCAAGCAGAGAAATGGGGAGACCTGCAGTGTATCTGCAGGGAGACCTTCCTGTGTCTTGGAACACTTATGGTACAGCTGTGCTGTGAACCCAGCCTGGCACTGGAGAAACTTGCAGTGCTGGATGCTAGCCTGATGCAGGATTCAAGCTCTAGTGCTAACCAAGATCAGTGGCCATCAGCATCAATGACACTGACACGAGAGTCTTTGGGAATCACGGAGGAGATCAGCAATGCAGACCAGCCAGATGATTCTTCATTTAAGCCCCCTGAGGAAAGCCAGATACCAGAAATTGTGCCATCGAATACTGGCTGTGTGACAGCCCTTTCCTTGGGAATGGAGAAGGAAGACAATATCCCACGAGCCTTTCTCAATAATGAAGCTGAAGTTTTATCAGGTCACAGGGATTCTGCAGTGACCATGTCACCAGATAGTTTGGAGTCTGCCTGTTTGGAGCAGTCCAGGGAAGAAGACATGTCTGAATCAATTGCCAGTACTGTACCTGTGTGTCAGGAGGAGGACACCCAGCCAAAAGGAAATGAGTCCCAAGGAGTTGAGCAGACTCCTGTGGAAAACCATGGAGGATCACTGGAAAAGTCACCTTTGGTTATGGGGGACTCTAGGTGTGAGGGACCCATTGCATAACGCAATGCTGTCTGTTGCATCAGGCTAGCATTCAGACTCACTGAGGATATCTGCAGCCCAAGACGCACTTGCTGAGCATGAATGTAGCAGGGCAGCAGGGATAGATGGATGGACATCACTCAGGAGGTGACGCATTTGAAAATCCTCCTAAAAATACATGGGGAACAAGCGTTTTATGCGCTATAACCCTTCTGCTTCAGAACATGTTCAGATAAATCCTCTTCATGTATAACTTCCCCAGTAGATAAATATTTAGCCCTCATGTGCAGATGGTTATGCATTTGCTCTCAGAATTCCCATCTCTATAGGATCCAGTGTTAGTTGGGTGATCTTCAGGGTATATTGCAAAGAGGTGAACAGGCTGGTCCCATTTCAGCACAAAGTTTATTGTCTAAAGCTAAGCATGTGCTTGAGTAGCCCAGTGAAATGGGCCACGTCTGGATGTAGGCCAGGCTGTTGAACACCCTGCTGGTTTGAGACCTGCTAATACAAATGGTTTCTGTCTCAGTTCTGGCAGCTGCTAGTAAGCACTGGTTTCTTATCTGTGTTTATGGGCTGCTGCTGAAAGAAACCTGCCTTACAGCTTCCAGAGGTGCTGCTGGATGAACCAGGGAAGTGCTCTGAGGAATTGTGATAAAATCAGTTGGTTGCAGACCAATTACCCTGAAGCCTTTTTGTATGGAAGGGTAGGTGCACATCAAGAAATCCCAACAGGGAGCAATGTTCAAGGAGTTCCTCCATCTGTCTCTGTGTTGCTTTTACCTTCTAGATCCTGGATGGTGTGTGCCTGGCAGAATACAACGCTGCCTGAGCAAATGTTAACCCATGGGACCTTGGAGATGGATGTTAAAATCCTTTATAAGACCCTGTGGTGCCAACAGCCCTTAATGACAGTATGCCTTTTCTAATTGCTACAAAGCAGTTGGAACATTACTTGTTGCAAGACATGGGGATTGAGTTTGCCAACAATTAAGGATTAAACCCACAAAACATTGTCACTAGGGAGAGTAACCATAGAAAGAAAATGGTTTTGCCTTGTTGTTAATGTTGGTGTGACAAGAAGGTACAAGAGTGTGTTGTGGAGCCTGCTAATGACAAGGGCTGAAATCTCTGCACTGAGCTGAAGGGCAGGGAGAGGGGATACAGCAGGTAAAGCTGATAATGTGGCTATGTTGGATAAGAGGTCCTACAGCTGACCCTCACACCCAAGCTGTGAGACTTAAATCCTTATCCTTGTCTAGGAAGTCTATGGCAAACAGCTGCACTGTTTGCCTTTCACTTTCTAGGCATCTGTGCTGTGTTACTAGTTAAGAAGTAGCAAATGTGAAGCAGCTGTTGCATTTATTTTTCTCTTTGGTCTTGCACTGGATGGTCTGAATACTTGCAAGCAAGTGAGGATCTTCATGCTTCTGCTTGTTAATCTGGAGGAAGGATCAACCTTGTGTTACACCATCTGTATCTGGGATCTGACCAGGAGGAAGCTGTTTGATTTTGCCCCCTTCCCAAGTAGAGGTATTCCTAGTATCAGCTGATGGTTTGGAAACAAAAGATGGCTCAGCTTTGGCACCTTGTTTCTTCAAGCATATGAGAAATTTATGCAAGAGGCAATCACCTACCACAGCTAGTAGTGTGCAGACCTGGCATTCAGGTCACTATGCATCCACTGTTGGGGCAGGAATGTAATGTCAGTGCAAAGAGCAGATTAACAGCTTGCATGTCTCCCCCACCCCGCGTGCTGAACTCCCTGTGAAGAACCCTGTTTAATCCATGGGGAAAATGCAAAATACCTCACCGCATCAGCAGCTCAGTGTTGATGTTAGCATAGCTCTCATTCAGCTGGTAGCTTTGACTTAGTGTCTAGTCTCTGCTGCTGTGTAAGGTGTTGCTATTTTGAAGGACTCCGGCTGAACTCAGGCCTCTGTTGAGTTCCTAGAGGCGTGCTGCTGAACTCAGGCCTCTCTTGCATTCCTAGAGGTGTGCAGGTTTTTCTTCAGGTATAAAAGGAAACTTTCAGTAGGTTATGTGTGACAGGACTTTACCCTTTCTGAAATACTGGAGAACTTCATACAGGAACATCCCAAATGAATGCATAGTGAATAAGGGAAACTAATTAGTGTAGAACAATTTTAAAACAGAATATATAACTTGGCAACACTTGAGTCAGGCCCTACAAACTCAGGCTTCTCCTCTCTCATGCTCCAATACGAAAGAAAACAATTAGTAAAATAGTTGGAATGTAGAAACAGGATAAGAGAAGCCATAAATTAGGGAACAATCCTTGGGTATGAACTAGAAAAAGACTCAAAGTTTGACGCATCCTGATAAAGGGAACCCAATATGCTAACAAGCCTGGGACCATCTGGGCAGGACGGATAACAAGGTTGCTGAGCTTGCAAAATGGAGATAATGAAGAAGAGGTCACCCAGCTGTGTACACTGAAGAAGAGGAGAAAGAGGAAGATTTGAGGAGGATGACCCCTGACGACCACCTGAGGAAGAAACTGCGCAGGCGTATCAGGACATTAGCATATATTTATGAGTTCCCAGAATAGTAATGAATATGTATTAAATTTCTCAAAAACCTAATGAATATGTAACTCTTTTGTAATATAAATCACATACAATTTGTTTCTCATCGAGACACACGTTCATAGAGATATCCCAGTGCGACTCCCAGTGCTGCAATAAAGGATACCTGCTTAATAGTCACATTGGCTATTGAGTGAAATTTTTTTTGATTCAATAGGAAGAGATCAATGTAATGTCTCTATGAAATGCTGCATTTTCATGGCCTTGTGTCTGGTAGCTGGATTGCGTGGGTTGTAAATGCTGACACGTGTGCATGTCTTGTAGGTTCAGATGCCAAAAGCATGGATTTTGTGGACAGTGGCCATGCCACGAGGAAGACAGTGACTTGCCAGAACTCTAAGCTAGAAGAAGAATCCAGCAAATCCAACTTCATTATTTGGGAAACAGAGGTCTGAAAGGTAACCAGCCGCTGGCCTGCTCACACATCCTGCCCTGTCCTACATAGCCATCTTCTGGTTCTTCCAGTCTGGTACTGGCTCAGTGCCATCCCAGGGAGATCAACAACAAAAAAAGAAGAGGATTTAAGTATTTAGCTCCATTAAGACTCAACAGGAGTGAAGAGCCAGTACACAGCTGTAAACAAGAGGCATTTCAGGGCAACACCCAAAGTAACGCTGGTTGTTCAACTCGCTATTCCCCATTATCTTCCACTCCAATCTGTTAATCCAATGCTTTGAAAGCATCAGAAGGCTTTGAGGGTATGCAGTTATTAAAAGCAGGTGATGAATTTTTTTTTCCTTCCACTATGTAGGAGGGTTATGTTTCAACTGCCTGCCCAAACACTTCATCACAAGCTGAATGCTCATCTGAGCCATTCTGTGGAGCTGCTGTGTCTCTGTCTTTATAGTGAGGTTTCTTTTGGGTTGAGAGAGTGATTGTGGTTTTTTAGGACTGCATTCATACCTTTCTCCTTGCTTTATATATGCAAAATCACTTGTGGCTGTCCTGCACAGCATTGCTCTCACAGTTCTGCTTCTCAGCAGACCTGAATACTGACAGCCAGTAAAGTGAGACAGCAGCTCCCGGCAGGATAAGCATGCTGCCATGAGTGCTTGGATGCCCAGTGAAGACATGTAACACACATTTTAATGGATCAGTAAAACACAGCCAAAGGAAGCAGTTCTACGGCAGAAAAATACGTTTCAGTGGTTAGTGAAGACAGGCTGTCACTTTAAGAAAAGTAGCTTGACTGTAGGAAGACAGCAGTCTTTACCAGGCCTGGTTTTGTCCCATTGTCTTTATGTCATTCTACAGGATGTGAAGATGGATCTCTGCAAATGAGCTGTGCTTACTGATCTGCATCCACCTTGAGTTATCACAGACCAGCTGAACTCTGCACTGGTCCAGCATTGCCTTTAGTTATCCTGACTGACCCTATACTACAGGAACTGGGAATGTGGGTGAAATAAGCCACAGAGAACCTTGTTGTTTGATCTCCGTTCCTCTTCCTGACTGTTGCTTTCTTGTCTCTTTCATGAAGGATTTAGTTGGTTGCTTGATTGACAAACAAGGAAGATTTATGAACTTCTTGAAGCAAGTGTCTTGTCTGGTGCCAAAATTTATGTGTCAACACTGCCTTATTTCTGTGACTCCCAAGCCTGTCACATCGAAGGTAAGTGGAATGTCTCTTTTTTTTTGTGGTCCAATACATAGCTTGGGGACCTTAATTAGATGGGCAAGGAATTTAAACAGATTTAGTGGCTTTGTGAGTCTAGTGCTTTACAAAACTTTTCTGCTCAGTGCTGTTACAGTAGAGGTATATGCCAAGTCGCCTGTGCCTTGGCACGTGAACCCTCTATTCTAGAGGTGAGAATGCTTTTTAACATCTTCACCTGCTGTAGTTTAACCAATGCCTTTTGCAGGATCACTTCAGGCTTGAAGAAGGAGCTATGGCATGTATCAGCAAATGCAGTCTTGACTGTGAAGGATGTTAGGTTCATTGTGGCTGAAAAATACCTGCCAGTGAATTGTGTTCATGCTGGAAGCTAAAGCTGTTGAAACTGGGGCCTGGTGGTCTGAGTTGCTCACATTGGTCTGATATCAGGCTACATGGCCAATCTATTAAAGCTTAAGTTGTTGATGTAGTGCAGAACACTTTTGGCACTTCAGATGGTGGGGGTGCCCTCAGCATGTCTGTGCTACTGACTTTCTATGGGATTTTTTCTTCCAGTAGAGTAGAAACAAGTAGAAAAAGTACTGAGCCTGATTGGCAAGAAGTTCAAGGAGCTGTGTCTCACCAACATCTATGCTCTACCTCTACCAACACCATTGACACTTCATTATCTCCTTATGACTGCCTGGGTAAGTCCCAGCTTGCTGGCTGCGCTGATGTCAGGGTGGAAGGCTGTTGTTGGTCACTGCTGTTGTAGTATGCTATATCCATGTGGCTGGTTCACAGATGCCCTCAAAACCAGTTTGTTTTCTTATTAATTTTTTTTTCTTTAAGGTCTGATCTCTTATCACTACCTTTCCAAGGAGCAGAAGTTTTACTAGACAACGTGGTACCACTTCCAGGTAATGGAACTCTCGAGACGTACTGTTGGTGGTGCTTCTGCAGGTTTAAGTGGATGCCAACTGTGTACAAGCAATGATTCTGTCTAAACTTTCTCCCTCCTATTGCAAGCGCAGTCTCTGATGTGACTAGAGCAAAGATTGGAAAAATTGTATTTTATTCTTCTAAATGTGCTAGCATGGCACAACCTGTCAGATTCCAGGGAAAAGATGATAAATCTCCAGGATTTTTTCCTACATGGAGGAGAGAATGAATTACTCTACTGAACAACAAGTTGGCAGGACTGGCAGGGTATAGGTGAAGTAGCTGTAACTACTCTGCTGCCTTCTGTCACAGAGTAGTTGTAAATGCAAAGTTAGTTTTTAATCTGCTAGACAAATATCTGACATTTTCCTACTAAAATGACTGACATGTATAGTTCTGTGTTCAAAAGACTACCCTCCAAGCACTGGAAGAATGTCAGTCACTGCCTAGAAATGCTTTCTGTTTTGCCTTTTTTTTTCTTTCCCCCTCCCCCTTTTCTAGTGATGTTAGAGATGCATGCTGTGTTGGTGTCTAAAAAGCTGCTCTTCTGGGTGTGGAAGGGGTGGCTGTGGTAGCTGAGGGGCAGGCCACGTTTCACCTCTGGGTTCGTGGCTGGCAGGACTCCAGGAAGTACAGGCCCTGCAAAGACTAGATGGATGGCAGAGTTTAAGTTGCTTCTAGAAGAAGTCAGTGTTTTGCATGTTCCCCAAGGTAATCGACCTCTTTCAGTATTTGTGGGGTTGTAAGGAGTTACTTCCTGCTGGAGATGGTCTCAGGGTGGGGAGCACAAAGGAGAAACTTTATTTTGCAGAAATTTGGTATGAAATAGGCAACTTTCCTCCAAAATGAAAACTCTTATGTCTGGTCTACAGTGTAGATTGTAACTGTATTGCCTGGGACACGAGTGTTTCCTGCTGCTTTACAGACATGGAGTTAGCAACAGTACCCACGTTAGCTGTGCAGGCCGAGAGACTTGAGCTGCCGCTGCTTGCAAAGAATGTGTTTCGCACTGTTCAGGTGCCAGCCAGCCTGCCTTACTAATGCTTTTGAGCTCCCATTTACAGTATTGCGCTCTGTGCAGCGTCAGTAAAGTCCTGAAGCCCCTGAGCTTAGTTTATTAAAGATCAAAATACTAATGGCAGCTCAAAGGTACTGCAGAAGTATACTTCTGTGTCTTTAAAGCCTCCTAATTCATCAGTCACTTATGTTCACGTTAACTTAGCTAGTGGCTTTAGAAAGCGCTTCATCCTTTCCCTTCAGCAACACAGCAGGCATAATACTTGTGTGATCTCCAGCTTAATAGATTGGTTTCATCAAATGCCTACAGCAATGGTAGGTGAGGATTCTCTGGCCTAACTTATGTAGGAGGTCAGACAAGATTAGCTTAATAGTCCCTTCTGGCCTTTAGAGCCTGTGAATATCTCATTGGGTTTCTCTTGCTCTTTTCTTTACGAAGGCGAGGATCACTTTTCATCTGAAGCTGACGCCGTTGTTGTTGAGATGACCAAAGGTGCAGTCCTAGTGGTGCAGGTACATGAGAGCTGTCTGGAAAAGCCTTGTTGCTGATTTGGCTGCTGCTGTTATCCTTTCTGCCTCCTAGCATACTGTGTGTGTTCAAATCCAAAACAAAGCCAGAGCTTGTAAGCCTGACTGCTGAGCAGGGTTCTTGTGGAGAAATCTTGGTGCTGAGAACTTCCTTGTGTAGCACCAGCACTGCTCAGGACCATGTGGCTTGGAAGGGTTGAGTATTCCCTCTTGTTCCTGATGTGGGCAGGGAGAAAGGGCTCCTGAATGGCTTTACAGAGCATAAAGTGGCCTGTTGTCCAGTGGATAAGTATTTGCCTGGGTCTGCACTGCTTTGCCATTCTCCACTGTCTATTAACTTACAGCTATCCATGTAAGTTAATTAGGATGAGTGGGAAGCTGATAGCATTTGTGATGCTCAATCTCATAGCTTCCTTTGGTTCAATGCAGTACTCAAATGCATCACTAATTCTAGCAAGGGCATGGATTTGAGTGACTAGGGCAAACTTGCCAGCTCGATGTCCCAGCTGCCTGGTAGCAGTAGCTACAGTTCCTCCAGCCTACGCATAAGTTTGAGTGTTACGCAGTGACTGACACTATCCTTGCATCCACCGTGGCTCTGACTAGAGCCTGAGAATTGCTCACACTAATGACCAGAATTGCTGCATAGTACTGTGTGCAAACTAATGTTTTTCTATGTTTCCAAGTCACAAATTATGACAATGCAACAGGTCTGCCGCTGATACAGATGTGGAACTTGATGAGGTGCGTATGTTGACATACCTATTTTTTCAACGCTGTTAGAGTTTATGATTATGCAGACTTTTTATTATTGATGAGGAACTTGCTGATGTTTCTTTCCAGTGGCTTGCTCACCTTTCTACTTTCTTCTTTTTACCTCCCTTTAGGTGATGTCAGTGAGCAGAACTCTGGTAGAAAGAGGATTTGCTCAGTGGCTTGACTACTAGTGATGTCCTAGATGCTTGACATTTATTTCTGTGAATAAATCTTGTTTTGCACTGATTTAGAAGGTAAGGGGGTCCAAAAGAGCTGGTCAGTATGCAAGCACCACTTCCTCCTAGCTCAAGATCGGTGCATCCCAAAGGGTAGGAAATTGAGCAAAGGAGGAAGGAAACCTGCATGGACGATCAAGGAGCTCCTGCAAAAACTCAAAGGGAATAAAGAAGTTTACAGAATGTGGATGAAGGGATTGCCCACTTGGGAGAAATATAGGGATGTAGTCAGAGAATGTAGGGATGCAACAAGGAAGGATCCTCACAAGCAAGCTTAGGAAGCATAGGTTGGATGATAGGACAGTGAGGTGGGTTGAGAACTGCCTGAATGGCAGGGCTCAGAGGGTTGTGATAAGTGGTGCATAGTCTAGTTGGAGGCCTGTAGCTGGTGGTGTGCCCCAAGGTCAGTGCTTGGTCTGGTCTTATTCAACAGATTCATCAAGGACCTGGATGAGAGGACAGAGTGTGCCCTCAGCAAGAGTGCTAATGATACTAAACTGGGAGGAGTGGTCAACACACCAGAAGGCTGCGCTGCCATTCATCAAGATCTTGACAGACTAGAGAACTGGGCAAAGAAGAACCACATGAAATTCAACAAAGCAAGTGCATCTAGGGTCCTACACCTAAGGAAGAACAACGGCAGGTACCAGTACAGGTTAGGGGTTGACCTGTTTGGAAGCAGCTCCGCAGAGAATGACCTGGGAGTCCTGGTGGACA